ATCATAATACTGCTGATAATCATAATAATACTACTGATAATTATAATACTGCTGATAATAATACTGCTGACAATCACAATACTGCTGATGATAATTCTGCTGACAATCATAATGCTGCTAATTATAATACTGCTGATAATAATGACAATTCTGTTACTATTAATAATCACAATAATAATACAGATAACTATTATTGTCATTGTTATTATTAATAGTAGTAGTATAAGTAATATTAGTGTTATAATTATTTGCAGCTTCCCTTCTATAGTTTTGAAATTGAGAATAGTCTGAAAAGCATTCTAACAGAAGCCCGTAAAGCCTGGATTCTACTTGCTTCAAATAGAAAAATATAATACCTCCGTATTAAAAATGCCTGTGTACTGAATCAATGTAAACCTAATAACAGTCTTGGAGCATTTGTCTCCTAGAGCAGGGACATGATACGACAGTACTATTCCTGCCATTTATAGCCTGGCATTACCTGATAAAAAAAATAATGCGGATTGTATCAAAACAAACTGTAACTGTATTCTGCCTGATAAGCAGCACTGCAGGACTCATAGATCAATATGTGTTGATTTACTTGGAACTGGTTGCTTTGAGTACTAGAAAAGTCACTCTTATAGCTTTGCTGGCTGTATCATCAAAAATTGTATCGTCTGCCACTTTCACAGTGTAAAGTTATTTGTCGTATTTCTGTGTTTAGGAAACCTGAAGCTGACCAAGCGATCGATAATGAGTGAGTAATTTTTGTACATTGAGTAATACCAGGGTAAAACTATTCTAATAAATATGATTTCAGAGAGAATCATCAAGACTGTAGTGGAAACTGGACAATTTTGCCTGTAATCAGATCTGTTTTCAGATTTCAGAGTAAATAAAATATTCCTGTAAATAAAAATTAAGTAATTTAGCCCAGCAGACCCTTGGGGCCAGTGTTTTGTTAGGATCTTCTCAGCCTGTCCTTGGACACACTACTTGACATGTCGGCTGCTGTTTTGCAGCCCTTTGGGGACACAGTCTCTAGTGTCCTCATGACCGGATTCCAGTTGAGTGTTTCTTTTTTATCGAATGTGAGCCCAACAGTAGAGGGAGCGTAAAATTACAGGAAAATGCAGATACACAACAAAGCTGAGTAAGGAGCCATTTCCTTTCAACGGGCAGACTGACAGCATATTCTCGCTCTCTTTTTCAGTGAACAGAACAGGCCAGAGTCAGACAGATTCTCAAGGTGAGGAGGGACTAGAATCTCCAGGCCCCAGCCCCCCCCCCCCACCACCACGGATCATTGGTTTTCCTCAGCAACTCCTGTTCCAAAAAGTTCCACAGCACACCTCACCATTCTCACACTCGTAGTGGAGCGTCATGGACGGCAGCTGCTCTGGGAGCCTGGGATGCCCAGGATAAAGGCTTCTTCCCGGAGTCTCCACTCAACTTAATACTCCAGAAGTATTAATACTCCAATACTTCTACATCTTACAGGTGTCAGACAGTGGTGTAGTGGTCACCTGCAGAGGTATGGGTATAGGGAAGCAGGGCACTCAGTGGTAGGCGGGTGTAGTGCTATACCGTACTATTGTGTATAAGCACTTCTCCTATGACTGATATGCATTTCTGACAGTTTATAAGTGAGTATACGGTAAATCGATTTTTTCTGAGACAGGTATATACTCCATATACCTGTGTACACCCAGTAGTACACCACTGGTAGAAGGGGATTCAGGAATGTGTTCCTGGAGATAGAGGAGACAATGAGAGGGGATTGTGTCCATTATGTCACATGTGTAAAATAAAGCATGTTACACTCTATGAAAACAGACATCAGAGCTCATCATGTACCACATGCACACAAAAATACCATTGTGCGTTTAGCATATTACATAACGCTGTATTATGGAATTATAACTGTAATGTGCAGGGAGTGCACACACACAAAGACACACTGTCTTTCACTGCAGCTGTGATTATAGGAGCTTTGAAACCCAAGCCTGTGTACTGCAGGTCTGTGAGGTAGCTTACATTTCAGGCGGGGACCCAGCCTGTGGCCCTCTGACATCACTGTCTCCCAGAAATCAGTGTCCACAGTTACGGCTGCCTTTGTCATTTTTGGGGCCTCGCTTACAAAGTCACCTGCTGGTGCAGTGACTGTTTTTGGCCCAAACCTTGGGGGCCCCTGTAAACGCCATTCATTCGCACTGGAGCTTCTGTGGGCCTTTCTCCCTGGCCTTCGTAGTTCTAGGCACGTCCTAACCTGCTTTTATGACCTGAAGCAGGGTTGTAGCCCAGGCTTCCAAGATGCTATCTTAGATCATGCCACCACCAGGGGGCGCCTTACCACCGCCTCCACCCCACCTGTCCGCATTCTCTCCCTCCAGTGCGGCTTGTGAATGGGCGGGGCCGCTGTGAAGGCCGTGTGGAGGTCCAGCACAACGGCACCTGGGGCACCGTGTGTGACGACGACTGGGACATGGTGGACGCCAATGTGGTGTGCCGGCAATTGGGGTGTGGCTCTGCCATCGCCGTGGCGAGCAGCTCCGCCTTCGGCCAGGGGGCGGGGCCCATCCTGTTGGATAATGTCGACTGTGCCGGCCACGAGACGGACTTGGGCCAGTGTGGGAGCCTAGGATGGGGCATCCATAACTGCTACCATTACGAGGACGTGGCAGTCACCTGCAGAGGTATGGGCTTGGGGAGCAGGGCAGTCAGGCAGGCTCCAGAGCATCCCTCCAACAAACATGCGTATTTCTTTGCTTAAAATAAGTCATAGTGTGGAAGAATAATTCCAATATTTAATTAGATGATCTAAAGTCATTTAACGCTTGTGTGTGTACTATATTATGCTTTTTCTTGATTGCTTTGGCACATTTCATGAAACACTATAACAGCATTTCTCAAAACATTTCATGCATATAGCAGAACACTATGGTTTAACTGCAAAAGCCTGTCACTTACCCAAAGCAATTAACTCCTGTCTCAAAAGCAAATAATCCCACCAATGAATTAGTAAGTGCACCAAAATGAAAAGCACAATCACCATTGTTTTAACCATGAGAGTCAAAATGCTTCAAAATATTGTCAGTATGTGAGGTACAGTAGGTACAGTGCATCGCAATGTGTAACACAAAAACAGCCAGAACAAGAAAATCATGTACTGTGGGAACCAAAAACACAACAGTGCTGTATCACTGCAATTTATGGAATATATTTTTAAATCATTTTGAAAGCTTGGTTAGCTGTTTTGTATGTGGTGACTAACACAATGATTACATACATATACAGTATAGGTTTGGGTGCAAAACTTTTACAATGGGAAACTACATCATCTATTCTGATCAACAAGACTAAAACAACTGAAAATTGTGCCAAATGATGACAATTGTACAGAACCATTTGCGTATGAATGTACTAAAACATTTGGAATTTTGTGTGAAACAATGAGAAATGCAGTGCAGAAGTGACATTACGGTGTGGGGATTATACTTGTTGTTTTGCAAATGTTAATTGTCATTTGAGAAATGCTCCAAAGCAATCGAGAAAAACTAATATAATGTACTATAGAAACAGTATTCAAGTTATTAGCTATATGTTTACTATGGGTAACCATGCAAACACAAGTGAATCAAATGCTATTCTGGAGTGAATGATTCTCCCCATTGTCAGACATGTCGCTGCTGAAGACACGTGGCCGTGAAGAGCCCACCATGGAACCTCCTCTCGCTGGCCAGAGTGAGTCACTGATGTTTTCCATACTGCTTAGCTGGGGTCTGAGTAGAGAGTAGCTCTGTAGCTACTTACAGAAAGTAGGACCCTTCTTAACCTACGTTTCGTTTTTGCCGAAATAGTCGCAAGCGCGTACCATAAATGTGCTGAGTCATCATAAGCCACCAGGAAACCCATAATTCTACTGGGTATCACAGTCAGCACATGTTAGATTTGTTTTACTGGCAGTGTTTACCAGAACTCAAACCACATGTTTGTTGGCTGCAGTCACTAAACTAAGGGGTACAGGGGGCCGCAGAGCGAGTGGAGGCCCAGAATAAACAGTCCCGCCCCTGTTTGTACAAACTCTTCAATAATTTAACTATGAGTCCTTTAACTGACCCATGTGACTGAATCTGCCCAAGTGACTTCTGGGATTGGAACAGCAGGAGTAAAATAAAAACACTCCAGTAAAGTTCTTTTTTTTAAAAAAGGAAAGGGGAAATAAACAGATAAAAAGATAACATACAATGGTATTCATGCCACTTTTTTAATTAAATAATTGGCTGAGTGCAACACCTAACAAACTTGGAATTTTTCACCCAAATAACCTGTCAGACTGAACTGAAACGCAGTAGCAAGTCATTTTATACTCCAGTGAAGAAAGGCATCCGCTAAATAAAATGTGGCTCAGCTCGGGGGTGGGAGGGGGGGGAGCCATGAGGTCACCGCTGACAGTGCCCCCCCCCCCCGGCCCAGGGGGCGGCCCCCCCCCCCCCCCGGCACAGGAGACGGCACCCTCCGCCTGGTGGGCGGGGCTGACCGCTGTCAGGGCCGCGTGGAGATCTTCTACAGGGGCACCTGGGGCACGGTGTGCGACGATGACTGGGGCATGCAGGCGGCAGCGGTGGTGTGCCAGCAGCTACAGTGTGGCCGCTCCCTGTCCTACACCACCAATGCCTACTTCGGATACGGGACCGGGCTCATCCTGTTGGACAACGTGAACTGCAATGGCAACGAGAAGCAGCTGTCTGGCTGCTACAGTCTGGGCTGGGGCATCCACAACTGCGGCCACCACGAGGATGCGGGGGTCATCTGTGCGGGTATGCACCCTGTTTGGCGGGCGGCTGTAGGCGGGTAAGACTATGCACTGACAGAGACCACGCCAGGGAAACTCACGTTAGACCAAGGACACAGATACCACAAACTGCGGCTCACATACGTTTCTGTTACTTAGTAGGGGTCGATTGTTATAAATTGCGATTTTTTAAGTGGGTTTTTATATCGCCATGAGAGTCAAAAATTGATTTTAATCAGCAATTTAAAAATGACTGTAACTGTGTTGGTCACATTCGTTACTTTTGGTACGCCTGATCAGTCGCACATGGCCCAGTTTTTTAACAGGGACTGTTAAGAGTCTGGATTTACCAGCGTTGTCTCAATTTAAAATCCAAGATTTGTTGAGTATAAATAAATATGTAAAATAAAATTTAAAGACTAAGACAGCATCATAACAATCGTAATGTACTAAACCCCATGTTCTCCATCTCCGAGTATCGCAGTACATCTACAGCGATAAAAACCCCGATAGCCATAGTTATTTTTGAACTGCTCTTAAGCCAAAACTATTTAAAAATCCCTATACATATTGAATTGACGAAAAAATATCGATTCAGGAGGTCTGTGCCAATTCCCACCTCTACCTTTTAGTGAATTTTTTTCGTTCTTCTCTGAATATTAATATAATAACTTATATCCTACTTTTTTGTTTTTGCCATTTCCAGTTCATCGACTGTTTCTAAGCGGCTTACCCCACTTGCCCCCAATTAACGTATCCGAGTGCGGCAGTCGTCAGTGGTCAATCTGTGATGAAATTGCAGACCCAACATGAAACTTTCTTTTTGTGGCAGGATCAGCCCCCACCACAGCACCGCTACCAGACACTGACACGATGAGCAGAGGTCCGTTTGGTCACACTGAGAGCACACCAGGTAAACATGAATCAACGTTAATGAAAAATACATATTATAGCCACCTGTAACACCAAGGAAACAGATACTGTATAGTTAGAAATGCCAAACTGCAGGACCTCATAACTGCCAGCTGAGGGCGCCATCCACATTTGATTCCCCTGACTTGATTACAGACCTGCAAGAAGTGTCTGTGTCATGATTTTCTACACGGGAAAATTTTGGTTTTTGCTTTACTAACAGATTGATATGAAATGCACGTTCCTTGAATGTGTTTATAATCATGACAAAGTGATCTCTGCTGTCTTCTTCAGCCACATGATGCGTGGGGGTCATACACTGAAATGAAATGTCAGTCTCGCTGGTCGATGTACAAAGAAACAGCAATAAATAGAATATGCATATGCAAGTCATTTAACCAAGACAGGAGCATAAGAGATAAGGCAGATAGATGCGGACAAAAAAATACAGTTCTGCAAATGGGCAATCGACTAACTGAACAGGAATGTGTGATAAATGGACTTTCTGCTTTGACTATTTTGCTTCCAGTGAAGAGAGTGCAAAAGCAAGCAGACCCATTTCTTTTATTTTTCAGTTACAGATGCCACATTCCCCCTCACCAGGACGACAGCGAGGACCACAGGGCCAACCACAAACCGTCCAACGACCAAATGTAATCTCAGCTGTCCTATGTGCTGCTTGCTACACACTCAGTGCTACACGCTGAGTGCTGTGTCCTGTCCGATGTGCTATGTGTTACGCACTGTGTCCTACACACTGAGTGCTACGCGCTGTGTCCTATGCACCGAGTGCTACGTGCCGTCATCCCCCCGCCTTTGAAAATGACAATGTTCATGCCTGCGCCCAGAAGGTCATTTCCTGGGCGTAATTTCAGTGAGAGTCATTCATCAAAATGAGGCTTAAATGCGAGTCAGTGTGTGCAAACTGGTGAATCTCATTTATCAGCAGGGCCCTAACTGCAGGGGGACCCTGGCTGGGCACCCGGTGGACATTAATTAGCATCTTTAAGTGGCCACGCTTCAGCCACCCAGCACCTCCCAGTGAATGAGCTACTAATTCACTCATCGAAAGGTGCAGAGAACCCCCCCCAACTCTTTTCTGTTGCTTTCAGTGACTTAATTAAGTTATGATTAGTGCCCAGGCACCTGCAAGTGCCTAATTAGCTGGGGCACCCCACCCCCCCTGCAGGCATAAGATGGGGAGCAGGGTCACTGTCAGCATTTCTCCATTAATGGGAGCCGGTGTCTCCAAATCCACCACAGGATACCACAGGCTGCCAAAGAGACGTGGCTCTTAAACTATGTATTTGAAATACATACACGGATGAGCGAGAACATGATGGCCGCCCCACGTGCTGCAAACGATGCTGACTGCCACGTAAAAACCGTGCTTGTCAAGGTCTGCTACAGTATATATTAGACAGTGCAAGCTGTCTGGTCTACATCTCGCATTGACCAGTCTTGGCTGTCCAACAACCTGTCGGCAGATAGTGATTTTTCCCTCCTTGGCCCACGCTCAGTAGGTACTCACCACGGATAACTGTGAGCACCACACAAGCTCTGACCCAGTCATCTCACCATAGTCACTCTGATATTTACCCCTGCCCAGTTCTTATGCATTCAACACTCAACTATGAGTACTAAATGTTGGTCTACCATATAACATATCCCAGACCTTGACGTGCACAGTTTTTCCCAGATAGTCACTGTTATTTGAATCATGGGAGGTGTTTTGGCTCATCTGTGTATTTACCCTGGACAGGATGCCAGTCTATTACAGGGCACAGGGCAGGGGGCATCCTGGACCAGATACTAACCCACTACAGAACAAACACACATCACTCTCTATGGTCAATTCTGGGATTGAGGTCAGGGCTCTGTGCGGGCCAGTCAAGTTCTTCCACACCAGACTCTCCCAACCATGTCTTTATGAACCTTGTTTTGTGCACTAGGGCACAGGCATGCTGGAACAGAAAGGGGCCTTCCCCAAACTGTTCCCACAGAGTTGGAAGTATGGAATTGTCCAAAATGTCTTGGTATGCAAAACAAGACATTTTGGACAATTCTATGCTTCACTCCAAAATCTCATGCACAACCTCACAAAACTCCACATTGATCCCTACGAATTTAGAATGTGATGTCATAAAAGTTCCCACAGGTGTAATGGCCAGGTGTCGTAATACTTTTGTCCATACAGTGTATATGGATCTAGCTTGTGCATCTTATATAGTTTAAACACGCTGGGTAAATTATTTTATGATCTAACTGAGACTGTTCGGATGAGCATGGAACAGGGTGTAAATAAATGCATCAGATGTCATAAATCTTTTCTTTTTCCCGGATTAGCTGCCTGCCCTTTCCCATCTCTTGGCTTTCGGTCCATATGACACTCAGACCCAGGGTTCTCAGTGAACGAGTGACTCTGGGGACCCCTGGCCCCCTCAGTCGTTTCAAAAACTAGCACAGCGACAGCGACCACCGCGGCTTCACAGCAAGGCTCACGCTCTCTCTCTCCCTCAGCTCGCGCCATCATCCGCGTGGCGAGCGGGAACAGCAGCTGCCAGGGCCGCATCGAGATCTTCCACGAGGGCCAGTGGGGGACCGTGTGCGACGACGAGTGGGACCTACCCAACGCGGCGGTGGCCTGCCGGCAGCTGGGCTGTGGGCCTGCCGTGGCCGCCATCCCGCTGGCCTACTTCGGCTACGGCTCGGGGCCCGTCCTGCTGGATAATGTGGACTGCCGCGGCGATGAGGGCCAGCTCACCGACTGCTTCCATCTCGGCTGGGGCCAGCACAACTGTGGCCACCATGAGGATGCGGGGGTCATCTGCATGCGTAAGGCCCTCCGTTGTGAGCACAGCCGGACACCACAGCACCATCACAAAGGAAAGAGGCCATTTCCGACCTTAGCAAGACTCAGGGCTGAGATACATATTCCTGGCCTTACTATGGCTTAACCAGCAGTGGGTGCCTCACTGACACGGCGGTCATCCATCATGGCCCAGTTTGCCGATTCCTGTCTCCATAATGGCCTCCCAGTTCCCAAAGCAAAAGAATATTGGAAGAATATATCATGTTCCTCAGTGAGCGTGGGCAGAACTGAATGCGGGGTGAGCTTTGGGGCTGGGAGGGGGGGGTAATGACAGTGTTGAAGGTGGAGGAGAGGGTGTAAGAAATAAGATGAATGGTCTTAAGCTGTGTGATGAGGTTGGAGAGAGAGAGTGAAGCCAAATTATCACAAGATGCTGAAACACGCTTCCTGGCATGTAGCATCTTTGGTGTTTGGTTAGGGTTTGGGTTTGGTGCACTTTGGTGTGGGGTTAGGGGTGGAGTTAGGGTTAGGGTTTGGTGTGGTGCACTTTGGTGTGGGGTTTGGGTTTGGTGCCTTGCACTTTGGTGTGGGGTTTGGGTTTGGTGCCTTGCACTTTGGTGTGGGGTTAGGGGTGGAGTTCGGGTTAGGGTTTGGGGCAGTACACTGTGGGGTTTCTAGAACGACTCACCTGACCTATTGCACACCATGAGAGTGAATCACTGCTTATATATGTATAACCTTCCTCTTGTTCCAGCATATCAGGCCCCCACCGCATTGCTGAAAGATCTCGATGCTACAAGACTGACCCCCACCACGAAGACGCCGACAGAAGGTAAGGTGAACTCGGGCTGGCTGACTTTAGGAGGACCTGTTTCAGGGCATCAGCTGGTGACAGGCCCAAACCTCAGGGCCCCACGCTGACGGACATTCCTATTGGCTGATGGGAGACGGGGGCGTGGCTCACCTTACAGGGACGGTGAGGCTGGTGAACGGGCGGCACCGGTGCGAGGGCCGGGTGGAGATCTTCATGGGTGTGGAGTGGGGCACGGTGTGCGATGACGCCTGGGACCTTCCCGACGCCCTGGTGGTGTGTCGGCAGCTGGGCTGCGGGGCCCCCACCGCAGCGCCGGGCGAGGCCTTCTACGGGAGGGGCGCCGGCACCATCCTCCTGGACAATCTGAAGTGCAGCGGCGAGGAGCAGGCGCTGCACCAGTGCTCCCACATTGGCTGGGATGTCCACAACTGCGACCACTCGGAGGACGCAGGCACCTCCTGCATGCTGCTATGATATACCCCCCCCCCACGGGACATGCGGACTTGTAAACGTTCTGTAAATAACAACACACCTCCTGAAGGCATCAAAACAAGCAAAGTGATTATATATTATATATAATGATTATATATTCTTTTTATGCACTTTATAAATATCGGTACATTTTCACGATATGGAGCAGACCAGCGCTTGATAACTAAGCACTCCCATTTTGTTTAAATTTTGCAATAATTATCACATGGTTGCTTCCTGGGCCTTCTCCACACAGTAATGCACTGGGAATGGGGGGAGGGGGGGAAGTTGGCGTCATTCCTAACTTACAGCCATGATACGAGATCCCTCACTGAAACATAAGAGAGGCTTAGGGTAACCCTAAGCCTAACCCTAACCCTAAGCCTAACCCTAACCCTAACCCCCTGCTGCTGAAGAGGGTGTTCCCCAAACTTGTTCCCCAACTTGTGCTGTGCTAAACCAGCCCCTTTAAGTGATGATTTCAATACAGGTGGCTTTCGCTTCACCATGGACTGTGAACTCTTTTCCCAGCCAGATCTCCAGCTGTAAATGACAAGCAGACAGATGCAGAATCACAGCTGCCTGTTCAAGCTCCCTTTAGTCTCGTCCCAGTGCTTTGTGTTAATCCTTCATATTAGAATCAGAATCAGAACGCTTTTATTGTCCCAGGGGAAATGGGGTCCAGCAAGGGGCCAGTGTGTAAGTGC